TCCATTTCTGATCCCCTGTTTTCCACTTGCCCCACTTTGTTTGCCAAGCTTTTGATTGAGATTTTTATTTGGGATATTTAGTTGTTTATTTCAGCTTGATTATTTTTCAGGGTTCCATACCTTTATTGGTTTCCTCTTTCATATCCTGGATAGTCTTCTTAATTTCATTAATCTGTTTTTATTCTCTTTGAGCACATTTAATTGTTTATTCACATCCTCTTTGAAGTCTAAAACCAGCTTTTGTGTTTCTTCTTTGAGGTTGTTAATCATTTTTTTTTTGGAATTCATTATTTGATTTTTCTTCTTCTATGCAGGTGTTTACATTCTTAGTGGTGAAAGTGGCTTTTGAGGGAGAGCAGTTAAGTAGTAGGTTATAGCTTTCTACCCCTCAGTGTGGAATTTGGCTTTTTTGCTCCTTAACAGAGAAGTGGGTCTTCTGTGGTCAGACACAGTGAGAATTGCTGGGCCTTTTTGTGTCTTAGGGAAGCAGGTTTCCTGGCACTCACAAGAATGTCAGGTTAACACTCAGTTGAGGAGCTAGGTTCTCGCTCTTTGATAGGGTGGCAGGGGCTCTCCCATGGGAGGACTTGGTGGTTAAAACTGGGCCTTCATGAACTGTGGGGAGGGAAGCCTCCTGCTGTCAGCAGAATAGCAAAGCATGGAGCCTGGAGTTCATTTGCATGTGCGGTGGCGGGCTCCTGGCACTGAGTAGCAAGTAGAGGGTGCCTGTGGGGCAGCAAAGCCAGTGGGCTTGAATCATCTGGTGCCCACAAGGCAGCAGAGGCCCTGGGGTCTACCTGAGTTGTGGTCTGGGCTTCTAGGAGCTATGACAGCTGCTGTGGGGGGAAGGGGGACAAGCCTGCAGGCATCAGGAGCCCTGGGGCCTGATTACTGGTGCAGGCATGACAGCTGCTGCATGCCCAGGGGAACCAAGCCTTCAGGCAGCAGGTATTCTGGGGCCTGCTTCTGGCATGGGCTCTGGGAGAGTATAGTAGTCCTCCAGGCATGGGGGAACCAAGACTGCTGGCAACCGAGTTCCAGGGCCTGATTACCAGCTGGGCTTCTGGGAGTGCAGTACCAGCACAGGGGAACCAAGCCTGTGGCAGTGGGAGCCCTGAGGCCTGCTTGTTGGCGCGGTTTACCAGGAGCCACAGCGGCTGCTGCAGGGATGGGGGAACCAAGCTTGTGGGCCATGGGAGTTCTGGGACCTGATTGCCAGCTTGGACTTCCGGGATTGCAGTACAGTGGTACTGCTGCAGCACTGGGGAACCAAGCCTGCTGGCTTGCACCTTCTGTTATCCGTGAGCAGTGAGGGCTGTGGTCGTGTTTATACAGGGGCGCCAGTTTCCCTGGTGTTTCAGGGTGAAGGCATCAGGTCATGTAGTAGTGGGGATCATGGAACTCTGAGTTCCTTTGTGAGCAGGGAAGCAGGATTTACCACCAAACATGGAGTAATGGAGGTTGGAGCGATGCTGAGACTTCAGGGCTGGGGGATCAGGAGTGTTGAACTGTGAGTTCTTCCATTCTTCCTGTGGTTAGTTGCTTTGTCTATTTGTGATTTGGAGAGGGCTTTGCTTCTCACTGGTTATGGACCCATGGATGCTTTTTGGGGTCCCTGAATCTTCCTTTTTCAAGGTAATTAATCACTGCTGGGCTATAGGGATTTCAACAATCTGCCATCTTGCTCAGTCCCAGAGAAGAGACCGCTTTTGCTTCTCTCCAACCCATGCCTATACATTCATGTTTCTTTGCTACATGAAATAAGTGTTTATAATTAATAGGGATAAATAAATACTGTGGATAGCAGATAAAAGTTTCACAGTGCTGTTCTGTACATTGCCTATTGCCAGCAACATAAACTTCCCAAAGGTATTTTGACATCTTTTTATCTTATTCTCATTTTTATTAGAAGAGCCTGAATATGAAATCTGAAGAACACAAAGTAGATGAGGTAGTCTATAATTGAGTAAAAATTTCTTTGCTACTTTAAAAGATAAAATAGAAGTTAGAAACTTAGAATATTTCAAGTACTTCAGTGTACAATATTGGCTTAATTATTAGCTATGAAATATGAGAAGAGAGGTAACAGGTATAGAAATATTCAAATTTAATGACCATCTTGCAAGGTGGTTTTGTTATTCTCAGTTCTATTGAATCTAGTCTTCCAAGAAAGTTTTCTTTCTTCTAGTTTAAGACTATTGTTTATTCCATTCACAATAATGTCAAAAAAATAAAATACCTAGGAATAAACTTAACAGTAGATGTGAAAAACCTCTAAAATGAAAACTATAAATCATTGAAGAAAGAAATCAAAGAAGACTATAGAAGATGGAAAGGTCTCCCATGCTCATGGATTGCCAGAGTCAATATTGTGGAAGTGGCCAAAAGCAATCTACATGTTCAATATAATCCCCATCAAAATTCCAATGATATTTACCACACAGATTGAACAATAAGCCCTAAAGGTCATTTGGAAGCAAAAAACAGCATGAGTAGTCAAGGCAATACTGAGCAAAAAGAGCAATGCTCTAGGTATCACAGTAGTCGACTTTAAGCTACACTATACTACAGAGCTATAGCAATAAAAGCAGCATTGTATTGGCATAAAAACAGACATGAAGACCCAGTGGAAAGAATAGAGAACCCAGATATGAATTCACAGAGCTACACTCACTGATTTTTGACAAAGGTGCTCAAAACATATGATGGAGAAAAGACAGCCTCTTCAATAAGTGTTGCTGGGAAGACTGGATATCTATATGCAGAAAACTGAAACTAGATTCACGTCTTTCACCCTGTACAAGTATCAACTCAAAGTGAACTAAAGACTTTAATATAGCACCTGAAACATTGAAGCTAGTGCAGGAAAGAACAGGGAATATACTGGAATTAACAGGCATAGGCATGACTTCCTAAATAGAACCCAAATGACTCAGCAACTAAAAAGGAATGATTGACAAATGGGACTACATGAAATTAAAAAGCTTCTGCACAACAAAAGAAATGGTCACCAAATTGAAAAGGCTACCCACAGAATGGGAGAAAATCTTTGCCAGCTATACATCTGACAAGGGATTAATAACCAGAACATTCAGGGAGCTCAAAAAACTAAACTCCCAAAAAATCAGTGACCCAATGAAGAAATGGGCAAATGAACTGAACAGAACTTTTTCAAAGGAAGAACTCCAAATGACTGAAAAACACATGAATAAATGCTCAATATCCTAGGCCATAAAGGAAATGCAAATCAAAACCACATGAAGATTCCACCTCACTCCTGTTAGAATGGCTATTATCAAGAACACAAAAAAACACAAATGTTGATGAGGATGCAGGGAAAAAGGAACCATCATACATTGTTGGTGAGAATGTAAGTCAGTACAACCACTGTGGAAAACAGCATGGAGACTCCTCAAAAAACTGAAAATAGAACTGCCATATGATCCAGCAATTCCACTCCTAGGGATATACCCAAAGAATGTAAGTCAGGATACAGTAGAGACAAGCGTACTCCCATGTTTATTGCAGCATTATTCACAATAGCTAAGCTATGGAAACTTCCAAGATGCCCACTACTGATAAATGGATTAAGAAAATGTGGTATTTATATATAATTTTATTCAGCCATAAAGAAGAATGAAATTATGTCATTTGCAGGTAAATGGATGGACCTGGAGAACATAATCTAAGTGAGGTAGCCAGACTCAGAAGGCCAAAAGCTACATGTTTTCTCTCATATATGGAATATAGACTCAGTGTAAACACAAGCAATGTTATGAAAAACAGGCGAGAGAGAGGGTAAAAGTAGGATGTTAAGGAAGTGAATATGTTTTATGTACTTTCTATGCAAGAATGAATATAGAATTTTTAAACCTATTGATATCACCATAAGGAGGGGGACTTAGGTAAAAAAGGAGAAAAATAGGGGAAATAATCCAATTTGTGTTATAATACATATATATATGGAAATGTCACAAGGAAACTCCATGTGTAGCTGTCTTAAACAAACAAAATGCAATTTCTTTCTTTTACAAAATCAGAGAACAGGAGGGCAGAACAGGTCCTGCCTGAAGGCTTGGTAACAGTGGGAGGGAAGAGGATGTAGAGAGAGGGTTAGGATGGTGACTGTGGTGCAAATACTGTGTGCATATGTATGTAAAAGGAAAAATGAGACCTGTTGAAACTATTCCAGGAATGGGGGGGAGGTAGGATAAAGGAGAATGATGGAGGGGAGAAATTGAAATATGATAATTTGATATATTGCAAGAACTTTCCATACAGTATCCCAGCACAGCAATAATAAAGTAGAAATGTTTTTTAAATAGTTTAATATTGTTAAACTTTCAATACTTGCAGCTCAGATCTTTCACATTGTGTAAAAAAACTTCAGAAGGTAAGTTGTTTAGCAAATATTTTTCACAAAAAATTCATATAAATTAACCATAAAGCTTAATACATGAAATTACTTAAAAAGTAAACTTCAAAGGAAAAGGTTTTATTTATTTTTGACGGCGGGGGGTGGGGGGTATGGGGGGGGCAGTACTTGGGATTGAACTCCAGGCCTTAGTGCTTGCTAGGCAGGTGCTCTACCACTTGATCCATTCTGCCAGCCCTTTTTGTGTTGGTTATTTTGAGATAGGGTCTTGCTTTTGTCCCGCTGGCTTGGATCATGATCCTCTTACTTGTGCTCAGGTACAGTGGGATAACAGGCAGACACTACTGCACACAACCATTGGTTGAGATGGGGTCTTGTAAACGTTTTGCTGGGACTGGCCTGGAACTACCATCTTTCCAGTGTCCACCTCCCATGTAGCTAGAATTATAGTTTTGAGCCACCATGCCTGGCCTTAATTTCTTAGAGCATAATGGTTTGGGCATAGTAACAGGTATTGAGGAAGTAATGCTCATTACACTGAATTCATTTTTCAAATTTTAGAAGTATTTATATTTTATAAAAATAGATTACTTACAAAAATAAAAATTTAAAAGTCCCTATAGTATTGATGAATCTTAAAAATGCATAGGCATTTTAGTGGGATTAAAGCTTTCCAGAGAACAAAAACTGTGTTTGTGATTTCATTTGAGATCTAGTATTACTATCTATTAATTTTTGTCAATAAAAGAAAATCCATTGCTTTCTAGGTTTGTACTTTAGAAAGTGTAAGTTAATTTCCAAGGAAGATATTACGCATGATACAAAGCTCTTCTGTTTGATGCTGCCACCAAGCACTCATCTTCAGGTGCCAATTGGGCTACATGTTTACCTCAAGCTCACTATTACAGGTAAGGCAAACAGAGGCTTTGGGGAACATTTTCTTCTTATTTAAGTTATTCAGAATAGTACCCATCTCATGAACAAGCAGTCATTTAAGTTATTAAATTATTAGCAGCTGGATTGCTGATTTATGGATGCATTGTTTCCTGCTGTGTGCTGTACTACATCATTATGTGGAACAGATTGCCACTGGTCAGAGAGGTGGTTCCAAGAGCATTGTGATTCATTCCTGGGAAAGAGGTGAGGGAGTACACAGGTACTCACAAAGACTACTCCTAGAGTCTCATACTAGCACCTCTTAGTTGCTGCTGGGACTGTATCACTTATGGAAATGAATTTAGAAAATTTAAAACAGTCTTATGAATGATACCCCATACATGCCACCAGTGTAAGAAGTTCTATAAATGTACCATTCCTTGCTGTGCAAATTATTTTTTCTTAAAAAAAAATCCTTGATTTTTATCCTAAAATTTCCTTGTTTATTTTTAACAGCCTTACTGATACTGAACATTTTCTTTGCCTTTTGAAGCTGCAAAAGGTAAAATTCTCATGACAGTCATAGTGTTTCTAGCAATCAGTCTGACAGATTACCAGCTAGGATTTGGTAGATACGGTATTATTACCATATCTACGGTAGTACTATTAAGTTTTTCTGTTCATCATCACGAATGCCAGATTGCTTCATTCAAGAGCAGGTGTTTTCCTCGATGCAGTTATTACCAATGTGTTTTAATTTACATATGAATTAATTTTGTAGATGCGAGGGCCATGTTTAAATTTTGAGCTTACAAATGTTTGATGACTCTTCTCTTTTGAATTTGGCTATTAAAAATTATATTGTACATTTTTATTTTACCTTTAAAAAATAATATATTCTTTGAACAGTTAAACATTCTTCTCAGTTATCATTAATATGTGTTGAAATGTTAAAAACAATTTAAAATACAGAAAAAGTGAAATTCTTCCCTTCTACCTCAAATGATCTGTTATTAAATATTTAGTGTATTAGTATGTAAATACCTTTTTACATCTCCATGGAAATTTTTTGATGCCATTTTTATTGTGGTCCATTACAAAATGTATATGCTAATGGACTAGATGACTGACTAAATTTCTTAACATAGTCCTTATTATTTTAGATCATATTTAATAAAACATATTATGAGTAAGTAAGTATTCATTTGTTAGAACTATTTCAGCATTGGCCTGGAGGCATAGCTAAAGCAGTGGAGTGTCTGCTTAGCAAGTGTGAAGTCCTGAGTTAAAATTCTAATACCACCAAAAAAAAATTTATTTCAGCATCTAAAGTTTGAGCTAAATATAAATACATTTACTACATGACTGTAGAGTATGTAGTTCGAATTATATACATATTAGTTTTAAATATATACTGATAGCATTATAAAATTCGTATGTTTCATTAAGAGCTTTTAGGTTTTTAGAATTTAATTTCTTTGTTTCGATTTTTTTTCTAGGTACAGAAATAGTAAAGCCATACACACCTGTATCTGATTCCTTACTCTCAAAGTTCAAAGAACCAATTCTTCCCAATAATAAACGCATCTATTTTTTGATCAAAATCTATCCTGCTGGACTCTTCACACCAGAGTTTGATCATCTTCAGATTGGTTAGTAACTTTGCATTTTTTAAACCTTACTTGTACTCTAGATTGGATCAAATATCCTCTAGTTATCTTATGTTGGAGTCTATTAAATATGTCTGCAACCAAAGTCATCATCTCTTTATCTTGTACTCCATGTTCCCTGACTTTATTATTTATAGCATTACTGTTCATCCTTGATTCAGTCTGGAGACTTGAGTCATCCTTTAAGTCTTCCCACTTTCTCACTTCCAGTCAAGGTAGCCACTAAATTTTGTTGAGTCTACATCCCAGTAAATTTGTCGTCTTTCCTTCCTGTCCATTTTGCCATTCTCCTTTTTCTGTTGCCCTCTAAATGGTCTCTCACACTGTCTGTTTTTGGTGTCTTTCTGTTTATCTGCATTTTTCAATTCTTTTTCCAGTCTGCTTTCAGAAGAGATTTAATCCTATCGCTCTGTAGCTTTGAAGCTTCTCATGGGTCCCCTTTATCTATACTGTAACTAAGTCTTCTCTTGGGCCTACAAAGACTTTGATGATCTCTTCAGCTTCATCTTTTTCTGTAAAAAATACTTGAGCTATTCACAATTGTACAAATTGTTCATCCTTATTCGTAACTGTATGCAATTCCTCACCTAGCATGCCCCTCCACCCTTTCTCTGTTGAATGCCTTTTTTAAAAAGACTCAAACAAAATATACTTCCTTTAAGAAGCTTCCCTCCTCCTCTAAATCACTCAATGATAATTTGTTCATAGCTCTGTTATAAGAATAAATATATTTCTTTTTTATCATAATTGAATTTAAGGGTAGAAATTTCCTACTTATCTTTGTATTTTGAGTACCTAGCATGGCAATTGGCACATAATATCAATAAAGATTGAATAAAAGAACTATAATGGAATCTTTTAAGATTTAAAAGCCTTTCTTCTTGCTTCTAATTCCTTTTTTGTGTCTTCTCATTTTTCTGCAACATCAACAAAGAGGAAATAATGGCAGCTTTAGGTTATGTTTTTAAAGTAACTTTGGAAATGTCTGAATGTAACCCTGACAAACTACTATCATATAAGAAAATTACTTCTTACATAGTGTACATAATGTACATAGTGGTCACATCAACTGCTTTGTAGAAATTGGGTACTGATTTCTCAGCTGTGTGGATTCTGAATTGGGAGGTATGTGCTCCAAATATAGGTGCCTGCTATTCTGATCCTGCTCTGTTTTCCTAGGAATTACACTCAGAACAGCTCTTCTTGTTTTAATCAATAGGCCTTTTCAAATAATTGGTGGAGAAGTTAGCACACTTACTGAGTAAGATTTAAGAATATCTTTCTACTTCATTTTTCTCTCCTAATCCTATCATTATGATTAATAATTAAAATATGAATAGCAAGTATTTATTCTCTACCTTGTATTACACAAGACAGGTATAAATGAACTCTGCTTTTGAGGTTCTTATAATGTAGTTTAGTAGTCAATCCTGTAATGATCATTTGTGGATAACTTTTTCACAGTTTGTGAATTTTGTACTTCAGATAGTTTGGGAATGTAATGTTGCTTAATGATGTAATAAAACCTCACTATTAATTTGACTATAATGATATAATCCAGACAGTAGGAGGCCTAATGGTCACCTCTGAGACTCCGTGCACACCGTAGAGTACACACGTCATGGCTGCGATTAAGTATTCATCCTGTTGCTCGTCAGTGTCCTAAATCCAGCTACTTTTAGCCTTCTCAGTTTCCCTTTGGGTTTTTTTGTTTGTTTTGTTTTTCTGATTTAGTTTATATTTCATTGTTTAGGAGATTTTGTTTCTGTAAGCAGTCCTGAGGGCAATTTTAAAATATCCAAACTCCAAGAATTAGAAGATCTCTTTTTATTGGCAGCTGGAACAGGCTTCACACCAATGGTTAAAATACTGAATTATGCTTTGACTAATATACCCAGTCTCAGGTATGTAAACTCGTCTCTAATTATTGTTGCTTGTGAGGCTGTTTTGTTAGCATATGGGATTCTAAGTTGATAATTCACTGAGCCATAACAGACTTGTTCTCATTCCCTCATTCATTATTTCTTACTCTTGCCTCTTCCAGTCCTAGTTAGCTTATTAACTTGGTTCTTTTATCTCATTTCAATTTTTGATAATTTTGGTTATCTAATTGGTAGTAAAAAAGCATTCACCCTAATTCACTTTAGACTTTGCGCTTGTGCATATTTTAAATGTAATTAATTAGTTATGTTTAATGAGGTACATATTTTTTTCTTTTAAGGAAAGTGAAGTTGATGTTCTTCAATAAGACAGAGGATGATATAATTTGGAGAAGCCAATTGGAAAAATTAGCACTTAAAGATGAAAGGTATTGCATTGGTATTAACTCTAAATTTAAATATTCAGATCTGTGTAGTAAGTCTAGGCCTTACCTCCTTTGGTTTAAAGCTTTGAGTTGACCAGGAAACTTCTTCAAAGAAAACAAAAAGCCAATTAATAATTCTCAAAGTGTAAATAATGTTAATGTCCCCAACCCCCAAACAAATACTGTTTGATAAGATCTATATAATATATTATTTAAATGTTTCATTGAAAATGTTCCAGTGTGTAGTCGGTTTGGTAAAGATTTTCTTCTATAACGGGGCAGATAATATAAATTTGATAAGGATGGATTAAGTAAGATTAAATGTTACAAGATTTCTTAGAGTCTTTAATACGTGAATATACATTGTGACTTTCCAAGAAGGATTTCTTATGCAGTAATTAGCAAGATTGTCTCTTTTGTTTGTGTTAAAACTTATTAATAGTCCTGTTCCCAGTGTCCTTGGTATGCACCTTGGGAAATGAAGTGATGGTGTAGTCAATAGAAAATATTTCTAGTCAAGCTGAATTCAGAGGCAGAAAGGACAGCAAAGTGAGAATGTGTTTTTTGAAAAGAACTCAACAAAGTTAATTGAAAGCAAATAGGAAATTCAGAACAAATTTCTTAAAAGAATAATGAACTAGAGAAGCTGTCATACTTTCTAAAGCATTTCTAAAATCATTGAAAGCTATTTCTAAGAATTTCAGGACTTTATAAGTTACACAAAATAGCTAGAGTCAACATTTATGTTTATAAATGTCTAATACAGGTAAAATTCCAGGCCTTTTAAAAGTTAGAGTTAGATCCCTTAGAAACTCAGCTCTTCTGGAGGCTCAGGGTTCTTCTGGATGTTTTCTGAATATCAGAAATAAGGTAAATGTTGTGGTCTTTACTATTTTTTTTTCTCTCTGTTATCTCTCATCATCCTCTTCTTTCTCTTTTAATGAGTAACTTTCACAAATTAAGGCTGGCCTGAACACTAACCCTTGAATAGTTACTGTTCTTTACCTTCTGAAAGCATAAACCTAAGAGTATTTACTGTTTAGGTAGTTGTATGACAATTTAGAAAGTGATTTTAAAAAATACAAATTCTTAGGTTTTCATTTGTCTTACTTTGAATCATTTATCAAGAAACCTTAAAGACCTAAATTCAAATTTCTATTTCTACTCCTCAACTTTCCATTGTATTGCTGAAATTTTATTACAAAATTACTTAGCTGTATGGGCCTGTTTCTTTATCTTCAAAATAAAATAATGATGTCTTTCTGCTTACTTCAGTAAGCTATTGTGAGCTTCAGAAAAGGTAAAGTAAGGCTTTGGAAACTGTAAAGCTGCCTCCAGATGTTTGGATTGTGATGATAGAGGATCTCCATAAATGTGTGTGCTTTCTTTCTTGACCTTTAGAGCTACTGTTTTTCTTTTTTTTTTTTTTTTTTCATTTTTCTTTTATTATTCATATGTGCATACAAGGCTTGGTTCATTTCTCCCCCCCTGCCCCCACCCCCTCCCTTACCACCCACTCCACCCCCTCCCGCTCCCCTCCTCAATACCCAGCAGAAACTATTTTGCCCTTATCTATAATTTTGTTGTAGAGAGAGTATAAGCAATAATAGGAAGGAACAAGGGGTTTTGCTGGTTGAGATAAGGATAGCTATACAGGGCATTGACTCCATTCTGAGTGAGGTTAGCCTGGCTCAAAAGACCAAAAATCGTATGTTCTCCCTCATATGTGGACATTAGATCAAGGGCAAACACAACAAGGGGATTGGACTATGAGCACATGATAAAAGCGAGAGCACACAAGGGAGGGGTGAGGATAGGTAAGACACCTAAAAAACTAGCTAGCATTTGTTGCCCTTAATGCAGAGCTACTGTTTTTCATAGCTTCTTGACCTTTTGTCTAAGATCAAGTGTAGAGCTCCTATTTTCCCAAACATTTAAAAGAATTTGAATAGACAATAGGCAGGCTGTTTTAGTTGGCTTTTTTTTTTTTATGTATTTCTCATGAATTTTTGACAGAAATGTTAAGGTAAATCCCTTAAAGAAAAAAATTATAAAAACATTTAAAGAAATTTAGCTTTATCTTAATGAACAGACATTGCACTTTTAGTCTATTAATAAGAGTTAAACTTTATTTACAAATTAACTGATAAAAAATGTGTCAATAGCCTCTAAACATAAAGTATTTTTTAACAAAGTCACCTGTGTTTTTTTGTTTTGTTTCATATAATTTGGGTCAGTAGAATGGCATAGGCTGGAGGATTGAGGAAAGCCCCACCACCCTCCCTTTTTTTTTATACTTCTGGATGCCTGGCTCTAACCACACTTACCAGGTGAATTATCCTGGGCAGGTTGCTGAGAGAAGTGATAGTGTTCCCATCTCTAGCCTGCCTTTTTCTTCCCTCTTCTACTTCTCTTTCTCCTCTTGCTCTCCCATAAAGGCTTATTGATCGTTTTGGTAGTACTATTCAGTCAATACATAATTGTGTACCCTGTACATCCAAGGAAAATAAAAATTCAAATTTAATGTAAGGTAATTTTAATTAATCACATCTATATTTTAGTTGACATTTAAGGCTATTAATTTTTAAATATATATCAAATTATCCATTTCCATATTTTACCTCCCCTATGTCACTTGTAGTTTTAGTAGTAAAGTTTCTGATGACAGAATATGTTATCTGAACACACTCCCTTTTCAGTGTTGTGAATATTTTTTAAATTCACTGAAATTTTGTAGTTTAAAACATTGAAATACTCTCTAGAATTAAGTCTCCTCCTTCTACTCAGTCCTTTGTGGAACATGGAAGAATAGAATATGGTTTCGTCTTCAGTAAGCATGCTCTTCTTGTGCTCAGAGTTTATCTAGACAGTATTGTTAACAAATGAAAAATTTTGAACTAATATTATGAAGTGGAAAATTGTTAACTGTGTGACCTGGAGCAACTTACTTGATTTGACTGGGCCTCAGTTTTTTCATCTACGGAACAAAAACATCAATACCTACACCAGCAGATAAAGATGCTTAGTCCAGAATTACCATGTTTATAGCAGACATTCATTTATTCATGAAACACGTGTGAGCATCTATCAAGTGCCTGTCCACAGAGGCACATCAGTAATGTGATGTGCATTGACTTACTTTCTCATGCACTCTGGGACGTATGTCTCTTCATTTTCCCTTAGTGCTATATACACACACATTTCATTTTGTATTTTAAGGCAGTGCAGTCATACTGACTATACTTTTTATAACTACATTTCCTGTTCAGTGTATACTATTTGTAGGTTCTCAACCTGGAGCAACCCCATTACTCACAGGGACGCTGCTGGAGAGGAGATGCTACTGACATCTAGTGGGTAGAGGCCAGGAATGCTGCTGAGATCCTACAGTGCACAGGACACCCCTCCAAAACAAAGAATTCTCTAACCTTAAATGTCAGTGGTGTTGGTTGGGAAACCATCTAGTATACCATGGTTTTTAATAACAGCATTGTATTCAGTTATGTGAACATAGCATAATTTACTTAATTAAATACTTCCTATTAGACACACTTCTGTATTTCCCTTAGCTGTTGAGGATAAAAATTCATCAGAAGAATCACTAGATCAAAATGTTCTAAGGCTGCTGATGCATTTTGACCATTAGTCTCTGAAAAGTAAAGTACTTAACACCCAATATTTTCCCTGGCTCTAATTTTATCATTATTTTTCCTTTAGAATGGATGGAGAGTTTAGTGGTTGGACATAGCAAAAAGAGAAAGTATTCCAAACAGCAAGGGAATGTGTTACAAAGGGCAGGGGATTATTTACCCAGTTATATGCACCAACAGAAGATCATTTGCATTACTTTAAGCTTTTCCATGCTCACTATTTGTAAAATGTGCTTGACATTGGATACAAAATAAGAAAGAGTACCCTACTGGTGAGAAGTTCTGAAGTTAGTAACTATAGAGTCTGTGCTGTGAGAGGAACAAATACTAAGGCATGAAAGTCTCAGGAGAAAAAGGAGTAATTACAGTTTTCTTGTTGTTGTTTTGGTTCCTGTTGTCATTGTTTTTCTAGACACGGTCTTGCTATGTAGCCCAGGCTGGTCTCGAACTCCAAATTCTTCTGCCTTAGTCTCCTGAGTGCTGGGATACAAGTGTGCACTATTGTGCCTGACCAAATAATTCCATTTTTGTGAGACTGGAGATAGCAGAGCTACATGGAAGAATGGAGTTTTGAATTGGCCTTTGGGAAACAAATTAGCATTTCTATGAATAAGAAAAGAAATTTACGTAGTGGGATTTTATGAGTAAAGACATGAGGGCCAAACTGTTCTAGTATTTTAGTGATGGAGTCCAGTTTTGCTCCTAGAGTTTTTCTTTAGCTAGAGGAAAACAAAACAAAAAATAGGAAAAGGAAAATCTGGGGCCCTAACTATACTGAGATGCTAATCTGTGGGCAATGAAGAACCACTGCTTTTTTTAAAAAAATTTTTTTAAAAATTGTGCTGGGGATACATGGTGGCATTTATAAAAGTTCTTACAATATATCAGATGTATCATACTTGAATTTACTCTCTCCACCATTCTCCTTTATCCTCCCTCTGCCCATTCCTGGAATAGTCTCATTTTCCCATTTACGTACCTGTGCACACAGTATTAGTACTATATGCACCCTTTCCCTACTCTTCTCCCCTTCCACAACAACCACTCCCCAAGGACCTCCTGTTCTCTGATTTTATAAAAGAAAGAAAATGGCATTTTTGTTTGCTTAAGATAGTTATTCAGGGAATTTCCTTATGACACTTCCATGTGTATATGTATTATAACCCAAATTGGTTCATCTCCTCTGTTTTTCTTCTTTCTACCTTAAGCCCTTGTTATGGTGATTTCAACAGGTTTAAAAATTCTGTATTCATTCTTGTATAGAGAGTATATCAACCATATCCACCTCCTAACTTCCTCATTTTACCCTCCCTCTCTTGTTTGTGACCCTCCCCCTTAGTGTAGCCTGTTTTTCATAATGTTGCTGTATATATATGTGGTTTATATATATAAACCATATGTGGTTTATAGTCCACATATGAGAGAAAACATGTGTCTTTTGGTCTTCTGAGCCTGGCTAACTTCACTT